AAACAGGAGAGGTACCTGGTCCCGTGTCCTGGCCTCGCTCCCAGCCCCGCGCCACTCACCAGGTTCATGACGGCGTTGACCTCGTTGTAGCTCTCCAGCACTTCTACCAATAGCTTGTTCAGATGAGCTACGTCGGACACAGGGAAGTATTTGGGATCGCCGATCCCTTGAGCAAAGTGGCAGAAGATATTTGGTTTGGCAAATAAGAGTTCGTCACTGAGATCCTAGAATTGGGGACATGACACCTGTTTATTTTTGCCACCACGGATGATAGATGATATTAGCAGCATCTGTTCCTTGCCCGGATGACCCAAGAGATCTCTGAGACACCAGGCTGAGTCTCCAGGGCCCCACCCTGCTGGTGCTGTGGGTCCCTGCCATGCCAGGAATGAATGACTAATCCAAGAAGACAGGCCACCAAGCAAACCCGGGACACACCAGCAGAGCCTGTGGAAGCAAGCAGGGCCTTCCTTGACCCAGGGGGGTGGAGGGAGACCACTCTGCTCTGATCCGCTGAACGGCCAACGCCTCCTCCCGCACATCCACAGCTACCTGCCAGTGGATCGTGGAGGCCCCAGGCAGCACGAATGGCCAGACGCCCAGCTGCTAACCAAAGGCTGGCAGCTCACACCCCCCCAGAGTCACCTTGGAAGAAAGGCCTGGGAATCAGTTTCTGAAAAGTCACAGCCATGAAGACATCATGGAAGACATGTTACTCCGACCCATGTGGGAACCACGGTTGGGAGCAACCTGATGGCAACGGGTTTGGTTTTGGTTTAACGTGGACCATCCCAGCCCCACCAAAGGGCTCTTGCAGGACCCTCAGCCCCAGGCAGACGGGCCCCTTCCGGGTGACGATGGCTCATCACCTTCATCATCACATCACCACCGTCATCACTTTTACCGTTGTCATCAGCAGCAGCACCAGAGGGATGCTGGGGGCTTGACTTACATCAAAGTACTTCTTGGTGGAAGCCACGGTGACCCTGCCCAACGTTTCCTGGTCTTTCTTGTCGACCATTTTGTCACCGTACACTCGTTCAGCTTCATGCAGCCACAAGCGAACAAGATCCAGTGGGGTCTTCAGGATCTCTACCAAAGAAAACAGGAGTCCCTGCCCCCCACACAGAGCAGTCAGTGTGTGTAGGTGCATCATGAAGGCACAGCACGTGCTGTGCAGAGGTGAGGTGAGAGACAGAGTGGTCACTGCTGCAGGGAGTAATCTGTGAAGCCACCGACCACCAAGGCCATGCAAACCCTGCTGGCCAGAGACTGTGTCTGTGGCCTGGGGGGCAGGGTGGAGGGTGGGGAAGGGACAAGGGTGGCTGACCATGGCGAGGTAGATGATCAAAGGCCCCAGAGCTTGGGCCACACAGCAAGCCTGCCTGGGTCCCGCCTGGCTTGCCATTTAGTAACCAAGTGGCCTTGGGTAGGTTGACCAAGTGCTCACTGAGCGTCTGCTCCTTGCCAGGCACTGTTCTGGGCTCTGGGAACAGTGGCAAGACAGACACTGCCTTTATGGGGTGTACAGTGGGGAGACAGCCAGAGAAACCAAATAACAAAGTAATCTTATATTGTGATGTATACTAGAAATGAAATCAAAGGAGCTCTGGTGGAGCAGTGGGTAAAGCTCTCAGCTGCTAACCAAAAGGCCGGTGGTTCAAACCCACCAGCTGCTCTGCAGGAGAAAGATGAGGCAGTCTGCTTCTGTAAAAACCCACTCTGTCCAATAGGGTTGCTGTGGATCAGTATTGACTAGACGGCATTGGTTTTGGTTTTGGTTTATAAATGAAATAAGCAGGGCAGTGGGAATGTAGGGGTGAGGTGGGGCTTCTGTGAGGTCATGACATTTGAGCTGATACATGAAACAAAGGAAGACAGGCATGACAACCTCCTTAGCCTCAGACTCCACCTCTGTAAAATGGGGATACGTAAGTGCCAACCTTATGGACTGTTCAGGGAAAATGGGAGTGTGAGTGGCCAAACTCAGTGCCTGGTTCAGAGTAAGCAGTCAACAGAGGAGAGCAAACATCACCGCCATTCTCATCACCATCACGGTCATCACCACCATCAGTGCCATCACCATCCTCATCACCTCCACCGTCATCATCAGGGTCATCACCACCATCACCACCATCATCACCATCAGTGCCATCGCCATCCTAATCCCCACCACCATCACCATCACCACCACCACCATCCCCATCCTACCACCGTCAGCTCCATCACCCATCTCATCCCCATCACCCTAGTCATTGGCCTCATCCCCACCACCATCCCCATCCCCACCACCATCCCCATCACCATCACCATCACCACCACCACCATCAGCCCCATCACCATCCTCAGCCCCATCACCATCCTCATCCCCGTCCTCATCACCTCCATCCCCACCATCGCCTCCATCCCCACCATCGCCTCCATCCCCACCATCACCTCCATCCCCACCATCATACCACCATCAGTGCCATCACCATCTCATCCCCATCACCATCCTCATCACCTCCACCGTCATCATCAGGGTCATCACCACCATCACCACCATCGTCACGATCCTACCACCATTAGTTCCATCACCCATCTCATCCCCATCACCATCCTCATCCCCATCCTCATCACCACCATCCCCTCCATCCCCTCCATCATCACCATCATCAATCCACCGTCACTCCCTCAGCTCTCTCTCCTGACAGTGCACAGGAGGAGAGTGCCCGTGGATCAGGGACCCTAAGGAGGCATGCCGCAGAGCTAAAAGATCAGTACCTGGAAAATGTTGGACAGGTCCCTGAGGTTGAAGACGTAATGAAATTTAATGGCCGTGGGAAGAAATGTTGCAGCAACTTTCTGATGCAAAGCTGTTATAGGAAAAAGACCCATCGATTCTTATCTTCTTAATGGCCTCAGGAAGTGCAGAGCTTAAAGGAAGGTTATTCAAACAAATGGACTACGGATGGTGACACTCTGAGTGGGAGACCTGCACAGCTAAGAGGGAGGGAGCTCGTTGCTCTGACGTGAGAGTCCTTTCTGTGGGCGGAGTGTCCTCTGCCCCGCTCCCCTGGATCTCACGCTGTCTCCTGTGGAGGCACAGCATCATGTGAAAACACTGGTCCCGGGTCGACGTGAGGTATTTACCGGGGCAGCACGGAGGAGTCGGCAGCCCCACCAGGCAGGTTCTATCGGCAGCCCAGGGGCAGAGGCGCCAGCTTACCCAGGGCCGAGGCCACCAGCTGGCTGCTCATCTTCTGCACCGCCACGGGGGCCGAGCGGAGGGCCAGGTGCTGGGCCAGGATGGTGCTGTAGATGGTCGTGAGAGCCTCCTGGCCCGGGAAGCTCACAGCAAACACACAGAAGTGGCGCTGCTCGGGGCGGGCGACAACAGGCGCCAACCCGCGTCAGGCGGCTCCGGCGCCCAGCTCGGGGTGGGGGCCCCTGCTGGGACGGCAGACCTATCCTCATTGCCTGCTGTCACTTGGCTTGGTCAGGGACAGTAAAGTCACATTAAATACCGAGGATGGGTGAAGCCTCGAGTAACAAAAACTTTGGGAGGGGCAGGGGAGTGGCTCAGAGCACAGGCCTGGGCGTGCAGCCCACGTCTCCACCTGCCTTGAGCATTGAGAGGTGAGGTCTTGCTGGGTAGGGATGCCCTGTTCAATGTGAACTTCAGATAAACCACATGTCTGTCTACCTGTCTGCCTGTCTGTCATCTACCTACCTGGCTATCTATCTACCTACCTGTCTATCATGTATCTATCTAGTATATATTGTATGGGACATACACTCAAAATGGTTTGTTGCTTATCTGAAATTCAAACTTAACGGGGCATCTGTGTTTTTATTCGCTAAATCTGGCAGCTGGGGTGTAGGGAGGGCCGGCTAGCCTCTGGCCACTCTACACCCCAGCCCCCGAGTTTCCCGACCCATTCTGAGAAGTCAGTGAGCGACCCACAGGGTCACAGGGTGATGCTCCCACAGCTCCAATGTCCCCAACCCATGCTTTTATTCTCCTTTGCCAAAGGGAGCCTCAGACTCATGGCCCTGGGCGGAGGTGGGCATGGGCCCTGCTCACCTGGAGCCTGGGGTCGATGGTGAAGGATCCCGCAGTGGGGTTCATGCAGGCCACATACTGACAGTTGTGGATGTCCTTCAGCGTCAGCTTCTGCCTGTCGTACCTGGGAAGGACACGAGGATCAGCGCTGCCCACCGCGGGCCACCGCCAGGACACCTGGCACGTGACCAAGAGTTCGGTGACTGTGGCATCCATGTGAAACAGCCAGTTACACTTTGCACTCTCAGGAAAGAGCCGGAAAGGGGAGCAAGAGAGGGCAGGTGCAGGCCTGGGCTGGTCGCGTTTCAGCTCTTCCTGCATGGCGTTGGGCTCTGGGCAAGGCCTGCAACCTCTGTGCCTCATACTCTCATCTGTGTGACGGCTCATTAGCAGGATCTAACAAGTTAATTCCCACACTCAACAGAACACTTAGGATGGTCCCTGAAATGAAGTAAATACTCAGTAAACACACACACACACACACACACATATACATTAAAAAAAACTCAAACTCCCTGCCACTGAGTCGATTCTGACTCACAGTGACCCCCACTGGGTTTCTGAGGCTGTAAATCTTTACAGAAGTAGATTGCCCCAACTTCCTTCCACGGAGCAGCTGGTGGGTTTGAACCACTGACTGGTTAGCAGCCGTCAAGGCAATCCCGACTACAGTGACCCTATAAGGACAGAGCAGAACTACCCCATAGGGTTTCCTAGGCTATGACTTTAAAGGGGGCTCCAGGGAGAAGCTGATGGGTTTGAACTGCTCAGTTAAGTGCCTGAGCGCTTAACCATTGTACCATCTGGGACACACACACACATATACACCTATACTTACACACCCACACACACTTATGTATATTCTTAAAGTTCCTCAAGTCTGCGATTTCTTTTAATCCAGGATGGACATTACCGGCATTGTTGTTGTTGTTATGTGCTGTCGAGTCGGACCCGACTCATAGCGACCCCTCCTTGGGTTTCCGAGGCGCTATCACTACGGAAGTTAGATACATGAAAACCCAACAGCTGAGCCCTTTAAGGAAAGTAAGGTGTCACCTGGCTGATGCCGCAGAGGAACTTGCAAAGGTTTTCTTAAGCGATAATGTCTGATCTGAAGGTCCACGGTGAACCATCACCAGTCGAGTTATGCAAGGACAGCTGTTCCTAGGAAGTCAGTTCACGAATTGACACACGGAATGAACTATTGGCTAAACTTTACCGTTGCAGCCACCGCCATCTCTGCCGTGTCGTGGCGTGATCGTGCCACCCACGGTGCGTCCCTCCGTCCCTGCACCCACACAGCTGCTCTCTGCTTTGAGTTTAATGGCTGCTATCGACTCTTCTGTGTACATTTCAACCGTCAGATGTTTGCTCCATCCAGACTCAGTATCACCTTCGTTCATCGTTTTCCTGGCATTCTTGGAAAGAGGAGCAAATGCTATTTGACTTACTGGACTTTGGGACCAGCTCATGGTGACTGGTTTACTGCAGACCACGGAAGATTGATTCAGTACCTGTGACAAAGGCTGAGCACGAGCACAGGGTGGCAGTTAAGGCTGTGTACCCACGCGGCTGGGCCGTGACTTCGAGTAGCTGGATGCATTGTTGCCTGTGATGAGACCGGACAGGGCGCAATCAACGCGGTGGAACCTGCTGTGAGCGGCTGATTAGTCATCTTTGGGGTGTGGCTGCTTCCAGCGTATACGGGGGAGCGCCGATGGGCTCCAGCTCTTTGGCACATTTGGCTCCAGCATCAGGCCAAGTCTTCATCTGCAGGTCTGGACCTGACCCCGAGGTCTGTCATGCCGTTTGCCGATCTTGGGATCGTGCCATTTCACCTGTGGATCTTGGGTTCGTCAGCCTCAGTGCCAGCAGCTGCACCAGTCAGAAGAAACCTTTAGCTTGCTCCAGGGGGCCTGGAACAGGAGGCAGAGCTGAGGCCCAAGGTGGAGGGCCCTTCCCCTGCCCCAGGAGCTGGCGCTCTGAACTTGGACTCCTAGCCTCCCGAACTGCGGGAGAATAACTTCCTTTTGCTGAAGCCACGCACTTGTGGTTTCTGTTTAGCGGCGAGAGAACCGAGATACACGGCCTGCATGCTTACCAAGAAATCACGATTCAACAGACTCTCGACGATAACAATTAGCAGCTTGTCCTTCCCTCATTTCCTTCCTGCCCGTGTCACCTCCCCGCACAGTCGGTGCAACTCAGAGGAGGACGGATCATTTAAACACTGTCACCAGCAGAACCTGAGGTTCGCTACAGGCGTCACGAGGCATTTCAAAGGGGAGCACCCGCTTCGTGTAGTTCCGCCACGCTGCCACTGTCAACACCCTGGAGGTTGCCCCCCGATGTCTTCAGTCCCTGGGCCTCGCATCTTCTCTGTGGTCAAGCGCTTCTGAGCGACTTCTTCCCCAAACCTCCCCTCCCCCGCTCCCACGCTTTCAGTCATGCCCACCCAACAAACCCTCAGTCACAGAGCAGCCCAGCCCAGGAAGTACCCCCAGTGTGTGCCCAGAGAGTGCCACAGGGCGGGGAGGCTGGCACCATCCCACGCTCCTGCTCAGGGACCTTGTCACTGGGCAGTGATTTCCTCGTTGCCTTTATGCCACTTGTCCCTGTTGCTGTCCGGTTGATTCCGACTCACGGTGACACCACGTGTGCGGAGTGGAACAGCTGCCTAGGGTTTGCAAGGCTGTTGCCTTTAGAAACAGAGCATGAGGCCTGGCTTCTGAGGGACCTCTGGGTGGGTACGAGCTGGCAACCTTCTGGCTGGTGGTCAACTGCTTAACCGTCCGTGGCACCAGGGACTCCCTTTATTTTAAAAATTTGTATTGTGACTTGGGTGAAAGCTGACAGAGCAGATTCACTTTCCGTACAGCAGTTCATGCACATTTTGTCTTGTGACACTGACTGAGTCCCCGCAGTGTAACAGCTCTCTGCCCACTTCCTCCCTGTAGCTGCCTCTTCCCGGTGTCCTTCTTTCCTGTGCACTCCAGCCCCGAGCCGTCTCCCTGCGCAAACACTGCCCTTCTGTTCTCCCACGTTGACAGCTGCAGGGAGTGTGTCTCCCTGAGGCCAATGCTCACCCCTAGACCTGAAGGGTGAGGAAGGGCCGTGGTCCTGGGGGTCTCACCAGGCTCCCTCAGACCAGCACCCGGTCTCTTTGATGATTCTGAGGCTGGTCCACATTGTTCTCCCAGGAATTCCCTTTGTGCAACGTGACGGGTCTCAACAATTCGGAGAATGTGACAACACACAAGGAAGAAATGGACCACCCCTCACTCAAGCTGCACCTCAGCCAGCTCCACAGCGGTTCTGGGCCCCGAGCTGGGGGCGGAGCAGAGGCCTGGCCAGCCCTGGCCCTGGCCACCCTGCAGCCTGCCGCCCAGGGGCCTGCTTACCAGTGTCTGTGGTCCATGTGCTGACGGATGAGCGTGTGGGGGGCCACTGTGCCGTACTTGTCCACCTCGGGCATGTTCATGTCATCGATGAAGTAGATGAGCTTCTTGGTGCCTGGCGGCCCGTAGTTCCTCCCCGATTTCTTCTCCAGCGGCTTCTCCAGAACCCCTAGGGCAGGAGGAGAGGGGTGGCCACTGCTGGACCCTTCCCCAGCCTGCTCCTCTGTGAGATCCAGGGGGACCTCCCCCAGAGCAGAGCCAGGAGTACGGGTCAGCTGAGGGAGGGAGAACTGGGGGTCCTGACGGGTGGGCACAGGCCCGGCCAGAGTTGGGGCTGCAGCCCTTCGGGGAGGCCCAGAGGGTCCTTGGAAATGCTTGCCTCATCCCCAGCCTCATATCCCAGAGGCTTGTGCCGCCACCCACCACAAACCAGCTCTGTCCGGGCACCCAGGGCTGTACCACTCTGTGCGGTGCCAGTGGGGGCGGCCCAGGGGGTGAGTAGGTGAGACCCTGGGGCTGCGGTCAGAAGGCACGAAGGGAACACAGCTGGGTCACAGAGCTGCAGCTGAGGGCTCCAGGCCAGGAGGCGAGGGCCCTTCATCTCGGCCAAGGCCATCACGTCTCAGTCTGCACCCTAGAGGCAGCCCAGCCCGCAGCCTCACCCTGCACCCCAGTCTTGACTCCAGCACTAGCTCCTGAGCCTAGCATTACCTTGTACCGCAGCATCTGGCCTATGGCCTCACCTTGTAACCTACACTCCTGGCCTGGTCCAGGCCTCACCAGCCATCAGCCCCGTGGCCTGTACCCCATTCCTTGGTCCTGGCTTCACCCTCTCCTCACCCCAACCCCCAACCCCTA